CCGTAAAGGATCAGGAGATGCCTGCCCTTCCTTCCTGCCATTGTAACCCAAGGGCCACGTTCACTAGAGTGAATGGTCTGGACCAGCTAAACTACTTTTTTTCGAACCAGGAAGAGACTGAAGTATTTATGTCTGTCTGCCCTTTCTGCCTTTCCTAACGCTACACAAGTGGATTTTTAGCTATTGAAACTGAGTTAATTTAAAGACACATGTGGCATATCTGTAGGGCGTGTGTAGAACAGCCTTTTAACTACTGTTGTGGATATTTAAGAAAAGTCTCTACATTTTATAGTTTTGAAATAGTTACTCCTGGCAGCTGAAGAGGAGGTCTACACAAAATGCCCTTGTCAATTAACATGTTAATTCACACCCTTTCCCTGTGTTTGCAGAATAGTCTATTTTGGTGACTTAAGACACCTGTTTTGTGTCATGGCATTAATAAGAGACTGAAGCCATTACTTTCCATGACACTCCTCTCTCCTGGCTTGGGGTTCTTCTTGGTGCTTTTTTGCCCTTTTATGGGAAAGTGTAAATACCTGAGTTCTTCCACCAGGGGTTTGGAAAGATGGGATCTTTGTGTTCAGTATCTCCCTGTGAGAATCGTTATTATGTTCAGTGCAAAAAAAAAAAAATTCTCAGTGAGCACATAATCTGTAAGGATGAATGCTCCTATGTTAGTATTTTTTTATACATCACATCTTAAGCATTACCAAAATTTTGTGTACGTGACTAAGTACATGTATGATTATAGTTAATTTCAGATCAATCCAAAGTAAAACTCTAAAACTGAAGTTTCTTTGCTTTTAGAAAATGAAGAAAATCCAGTCTTTATCCAGGTTTCAACTTGCATATATTTAGGAGAAAAATCATTACATTAGCCAACTGTACACAGCCCTCAATCAGGACTATTGTGTTTTTCAAAGATAATTGCTGGATTTAGAAATTGCTGGTGGAATATTTTGCGTGAAGCTGTGTGAAAGAATATTAGTGATTTTATAAATTATTACTGCAGTACATCCCTGAAGTCTACCCCTGCAGTGTGTATGCACATTACTGCCAAATAAATAATCATGGAAAATGTCAAAAACTTGTGCGTTTCTTGCACGGAACAGCAGGTTTAGGAAGTACTCGTGTAATCAGTTCATTATACAGTATGACACTCCTTGCTGTAGTGAACCAGTGGAAATGTGGACCAATCTGTACTCCCTTAAAGCTGGCAGCTTTACTTAAGGGCCTGTTAATGGTCTAGCTACTCCCATGCTGAGGTTTTGGAAAGGCTGGACGGTCACAGAGCAGCCATTCCTTTGCGTATGTGACTTCAGGCACCTGCAGTCCAGGGTATTGCTTGTGTGCTGTATCACCCCACCTCTTATTGTGCATAATTGAGAACTTCTTGTATAAAATGTTGTTGTTAAAAGGCATCACTGAGTTGTGTCATCTTTCAGACTATTGAAAACACTGTAAAGAATTCCTGGAGGGATGTCTTGGCTTTCACTCAGACAAAAGCCAAAGGGGTGCTAATTTTATACCATGTTTACTGCATTAGGTGGTATTGAATTTTCAGGTGTTGTTTCTTTTTAATGTTTTCATTAAATTAAAAAATGCATCCCAGTTTATTGTGTGATTTCCTTTTGCTGCTTTGCCTCTTGATTTTAATGGATTTTAACTGAAATAACAATGAATTTTGACTAATTACTTTGTACATGAAGACCCATATGTGTATGACAGGAAATGTTAAAGCTATTGATGTGTCAGTTGGCGTGAAAATATGAGGTCATGTAGAAAATTCACTTTTTTTTAAGGTGGAAATTGTGACACAACCTAAATTTCTTCCATCGTCCAGCCACTTGCCCAGTGTGGGGTATTGATAAGCCTGCAGTCTGTCCCAGGTGGCATCAGGCCCACAGCAGGGGGGAGTAGCTTAAATATGTGGTGTGTGGCTCTGGCTTAGGAGCCTGTGAATGGAAGGTTGCTGGTTCAGTTTCCAGCATTGTTTTCCAGCAGTTTCCAGTGATTTCACCATTGGCTGTGTTACTTTGAATGGCATGCCAGTCTATTGCTGGATGTGCACACACACCCTACAGGCAATTTTGAAACCAATTTTCCTGACTACTTTCTGTCTGTCTGCACTGCGGAAGTCAAATGTCCCCAGAAGAAACACAAGCGACAAGGGAACAACATGCAAACTTACATAACGGGGGTGGAATTCAAACCCCAAGTGTGAGAGGCAATAGTGTCCAATTTTGGATTAAAATATCTGTTCGGTACATAAATATCAAGTACATTAATGAAAAATTATAGCAGTAGAAGGAACCACTCAGAACCGGGGGTCTAATTTGGCCCCTCCCCTCTGAAACTGGTGAGTTAATCAGATCTTTACTGCCGTCCGGTTACGTGATGCCTTTTTTCCATTTTTAATGAAAAGATTAATATTATTAGCTGTCATCAAGTTGACATGGACTGCTGTTGACCATATAATTTGAATTCTTCCAGAACATCCTGTCTTCTGAGTCTTTGAACTTCCCAGTGGCATGTTCAATTCTGTGATTCAATTTTTTGTTCTTCCTCTGAAATTGTGTACTGTTGATTGTATACTGTTCCCTGTGCTATTAAAATTTCATGTTTAAAGCATTTGGAACTGATATGCACAATCTAGTGAAATGTTTACTTGTATAATTGTCACTCGATACAGGTCTTTTCTCTACCTATGTTTTTCCAAATGAAGATGGCACAGTGGCCTAGTCCTACCACCCACCGGGGTCTGGGGGCTCTGTGTGCAGTTTGCATGTTCTTGCATCACATGGGATTCCTCCTGGTATGCAGGTTACCTCTTTTGGTTCAAAGACGTGCTCTTAGGCTAACTGGTGCCTCTAAATTGCCCATAGAGCAGGGGAATTCAACTAAAATCTAAAGAGGTCCAGTTACAGAAAATTTCTTGAAGCAAAGGTCTGGAAGATCATAATGTCTAACTATTTAGTGTGATGTATATTTAAGCAGCCTATCAGTTGTATCAACATTGCATGTAATCAGTACTTGACTGTCAAATCAAGTTAATTCAGTACAATTCAATTTGAGATGTCTGCATACATATGTAACAGTTCTTACCTTGTAAAGAGTCTGCTTTTGTATTTAACCGTGTAAATACACCTTTGACGTAGCTTATTTTAGGTTTATAATGGAATAATATAGATTTGCCGTAAGATTTCCTGCGCGAGTCTGAAATCTTGAGTGGCATGCCAGGTGCTGAAAACGTACAATTTTTGTTTCACCTGAGTTGATTTATATAACAGAACATTACTTTATACAGTTGTTAAAAAGCGGAAACTTCCACGAACATGAAATCACCAATAAACCATATCTATTTATCCAACATGTTATATAATACATACTGTGTTTGAAATCTTTTCAGCTGTATGATTTCAGGACAGATCAGCCACTCTTTTAGGACCATTACGGCTTTTTGGTTGCGGGTGTTAGCTTCGCTGCTGTTATTAAGCAGCTACTCTGTTAGGAACATTACGGCTTTTTGGTCGCTTCGCTGCTGCTATTAACACTAATGGCACATTACCGCAGACAAAGGGCTGCATACGCCGAACTACGCTTCGCGGTTAAATACATTTGACATTCATTGGCATGTGAAGCGGCGGTTCTAGTGTTAAACCACAACCGAAAAGACTACAAACGCTGCGCCGGTTAAAATAGAAGCGTCCCGTCAGGTTTTAAATCATAACTTTCTGTTTTGGCTATCGGTCCGGGTCCGTATGGGACAGCTTCTGGGTCCGGACCCCGACCGCGGTCCGCCTGTTAGTGACCGCTGCCATAGAGTATGCTGTGTGTGTGTGTGTGTGTGTACGCCCTGTGATTTACTGACATCCCATCCAGGATGTACCACACCCTTGTGCGCTGTTCTGCTTGAGACAGATGGAGGGATAGAGGGTTTGGTCTTTGTGAAAAATCATTAATTTTGATAATACATTTTCTGGAGCTTTACCATTCCTATAAGCAGACTCCCTTCATAAGTCTTCAAAAAATATCCACTGCAACGTTCTGTTGTGGTTGGAGTCTATACCAAGAAGAACAGGACAGAAACCTGGAAAAATCCCGAATAGGACACCAACTCATCGCTATGCTCTCATTTACATTTTCTCGGTGTTTTTCTACAGTCAGTTTTATCCAGTCGACAGCAGAGTTCGCTGTATAGTAATTTTGGAGCAACCCCACAGTCTAATGCTAGTTTAGTCCGAGTAGGGAAATTGTAACTACGACATAACGTATGTTCAAGTTGTTAAGTCTGAGTAAAATGGAGGCAGTAAGAAAACTACGTTTTGTTTTCGCTTAATTTTGTATTCCCCCAACGTTACTGAACGTGAAGAAGAGCTCAGGAAACCCATTTGTTTGTGTTTGCTTGTGTTGATAACTAGTTACTCGCTAGTCCAGTTTACAACTTAACAGTTAATAGGTTAATATACATATAACAAAATGAATTCTTACATTATTACATTAATTAATAATCACATTACCTTTAGTAATCCCCTGCTTAAACAACAGCTAGGGGTAGCTAGCTACATATCAAACATTAAGCCACAAACCTATCAATATTTTTTTGACGGTTCACCATTTAATAATCTGCTCACCCACCTTCAACACAAGAGTTTTGCAATGGCAGGCAACATAAAATGTACTAGTTTCAAATGAATTTGCCTTTGACATAGACTGTAATGAAATTACTTTCCCGACATGACTGGAAGCCAAGCTGACAAACGCCGCGTCCAGCACCGGCTGCCGGACTCACACTCCGGGAGACCCAAGCCGGTGCCCGCGGCTGACTTGGCGCTTTCCTCTTGACCGAGGAGTGACTGTGGAAAACTAGTAATAATTATTTATCACTTTACAATATACGTGCGAAGTATATAAATACATCTCACAGCCCGGGTTTGGACTTAACGCCGTGTGGGTAGAATATAAAAGGGCGGCGTTAGCAGCTGTACCGGGCGGTGAGTTTCCGCGTTACAAGGTCGTGATGACGGATTAGCACGAGCGCCGAACGCTCTGCAGGTCCTCTTCATCTTACACCGGGTCTCCCGTGAAATAGCGATAGTAATCTACGATAAAGAAGACGTTAAAATTCGAACTTAATTTGAATTTGAATTGCGAGTTCTCCATTATGTTAGAGTATCTCGCTGTACTTCCACACGAAGCGTCCATTTGCAAGCCGACACGGCGGACGGCCGGCTGCAGCTCGGGGCTCCGGTTTCACCTTTACCTCTCCTGACAGTGCATGGATGGGACAGACTGGAAATGAGCGGATGTGTCTGGGCCATTTGTTTTGTTATGGGAAGCTTTTTAAATCTGTCCCCATAGTAATTTCCTGCAGAAAGGAGTAAAGAAGAGATTACTGTGTAACTTCCGCGTCGTTAGTTATTCGGGGAAGGTAATTATTCGTTTGTTGCCAGGTAACTGCCACGATGGTTAGAAACAAATGTATGCTTAATGTGTTTATTGATAAACGTTGTTCGTTTTAAAGGATAAGTATTCATTGGTGAATCAGTAGATTTTGGTATAAAATTTACTTCGTAATCCTTTTCGACACACTGTGAGCTTTTTATATATGCAAAGTATTTACTTATATTTACAAAATCTTTGTTACCCTCTGGCATACAAGTTTATACTGAATCATTTTCGCTTAATACAGAGATGTCTGCGAGTAACCAGTCCCTGAGAGATTTGCCCACAGACAACTGGATGTCTCACCTGCCAGCCATACTTCAGAACCTGCCTCTCTATCACCTGGCCATCCCAGGTAAATGGGCACGTTCACTTCCCAGTAACTAGTCACAAAAATCAAATGAATATTTATGATCACAAAAAGTGTATGTAGAAATATTTTATTCTTGGATGAGTTTTTTTTTGTTTTTTGTTCTTGTATTCTGAAATTACGATTAACGTTTTAGATTTAAGCATGTTGTGTGCACTTTGTAGGAAGTCATAACGCCATTACTTACTGCCTGGATAAGAACAACAGTCCAATGGATCTCACACAGCCAGATTTGCTGCAGAAGGTGGATAAGTACATGAAGCCACTGGTCCGTCCTTTTTTGTACAAATGGGCTGTAACACAGGTAAGCAGCATAGAAATTCAACTGCCGTTTCCTTTCAGCCTAATAAATCAGAAAACTCATCTAAGCACTGTATTACTGAGATTTCTAGTACTGAGGCTCAGTTAAAACATGTAGAGTAACGTGCCTGGGTTTCCAGGTCTTGTGGAGAAGGGTTTTTGGGTCTGATGATGAAAGCAACATACCAGCTGCAGAGTGTTTCTCTTCATCAAATACTTCTGGGAATTGAAAAGGAGTCAAGTGTGGTCAGAAAATTCAAATTGGGAAACATGACAGTTCATCAAAACGGTAACCCAAAGCACACTATTAAAAGAAAAGTGCTTAAAGACAAGCATGCTAAAATGGAGCTGTCCAGTCAGAGCCCTGACATCAGTGGTTAGAGTATAGTCGCTGAAGAGGGAAGTTCATGAACGGAAGCATGTTGTACTGGCGAATACTTATCCAAAAAGACTTGTCAGTAGTTGAAATGAAAGGTGTTTTGCATATACATACACAATATATACTGTGTATGGTTGTGTACTCTGACTGTGACTCTTTATGCTCAGCTGGTTGGTTGAAACAAAACCTTGGTCTGGATTTGTACTCTCTGAAACTTTCCACCTCTGTCTGTAATGGACTTTTGTGAGTAACTTCCCCAACACCGAGTGTATACCTGTATCTGACATGCAGTCTAGGTTTCTCATTTTCAGTTGTCATTTCTTTGAAGGGTGTGTGCACTTTTTTTGTGCACTATTCTTTTGATATTATTTTGCACCAATGAGCTTCGAGTGATGTAGTCACATGTCCAGTTACTTATCTACCCACGCTCCCTGCAGTTTGAAAACAGGTTTGGTCAGTAAGTGTGGATGAATATATTTTTCTTACTGGAAATATAATTGGTGGTTCCAATTCCATGATTTCTGTTCCAGAGTTGTTCTTTTTTTTTAATATGAATGACATTTGTCTGGGGAGCTGACATGCAATGAAGATAAAAGGAATTAAATATTCAAACTGAAATTACTGTTTTTCTGCTCAGCTTCAAGGTGTGATTCTGATAAACCCTTAATTAGTGTATTTTGGTAACCCTTGTGAGTGACTTCCATACTCCGGTAGCAGCATGTCGGTCATCTACCCCCTTCCTGTTTTCCTCAGGATTCCAGTGTAACACAGCAGTTGGATGGCGGAGTCCGGTACTGTGACCTTCGAATTGCCCATCGGCCCAATGACTGCTCCAGTGACTTGTGCTTTTATCATGGGGTCTATACGACAGTGACCGTGGAAGTAAGTTAACATGCAGCCTGTGTGACTTCCTAGTTTATGATTGAAGTCTAAATGTCATTTACGCTGACAAAAGTAATACAGTAATGTGGCTCACATTGTTAAAAAGGTTGTTTTTGAAAGCCTAAGCTATGAATTGCTCTTCAACACAAAGAGGTATGTTATCGAATAATTACTGTTAGCCTAGTTTGCAAGTTTCCTGTACAACTTCACAGAAAACAAAGCATGCTTCACTCCTTGGTTATTTAAAGTCATCTGCAGTGGAAACCACGGAGAAATGTTACTTGTGCAACAACAATGCAACTTAGCATTATGCATGCTGTAATGTTTTTTTTTTATTATTTTATTTATCGAAATACTGCCTGTTCTAAAAATATTGACATTTTGTGTGGCATTTATAACATTGATGTCTCTTATTATGTACAATTTAGTTTACACTCGGCTATGGAAAAGTTTTGTATTTGCAACATTTAAACTATTGAATCAACTTGAGGCCCTTCGTTAATTGGTTTATATGTGTTACATTGTACAGTTGGTTCCCAGGTTAAGAGCATGTGACTTATGGACAGTTCATACTTGCAGACTGCCATAAAGCCTGTTACATTAAAAATTTGGGTTAAATGCAATGGCTCCTGATAATAAACACATGCACTACTGTGTTGCTTAATGTACCATGCAGTACCGTATGTAGTTACTTATAACTGATTACTGTATAAATATTATTATGTACTGTATGATTAATTGTCTGACTTGCCTACAGATTTTGCGTAAAGACTTTGGAAACGGAACTCATCTGTAACCTGGAGACTGCCTGTATATCTAATAGAGTAATATGAATTACAGAATTTGTCTTTACAGAAAGGTTCATGCTGCTGCAAGGGTTTTTTTCTTCTTCTCTTTTGTAGTCTGTTCTGAAGGAGATTAGAGAGTGGTTGGATGTCCATCCAAGAGAGGTGGTAATCTTGTCCTTCAGTCACTTCCAGGGATTAAACCAAGAACTTCACAATGTCCTCATTGAAACCATAAAGGATGTCTTCACCACAAAGTTGTGTCCTAAGAAGGTACTGCTTTCTTGTTTTTCAAGTAGTTTTCGACATGAATTGTTGAACAGAACAGCTTTGTTAATAAATACATGGTGTGTTTAATGAACTAGAGGGGAAATGGTAGGGCTGGACGATATCACATCGATATTACGTCGCCCATGCCCAATAGTCACCACGGCTTCAGATGATGGGTGAAACATTTGGCCAGATGCCAGCTTTTCATTACTATACTGACATTTATACCCACAATTTTAAGCAGATTAATAGTATATTAAAGTGGCGCTTTATGATGCCCAAAATTTAGTAATCGTTATAAATTTGGCATTTCCTTATGTTCAACAAACGTGCTGGACTTTAAACTGCAGAAAGTACCACCACACCACTGACATCTCTTTCTCTTGTTCATCCGCAATATCTCCTCTTTTAAAAGATGTCACGGCTGCTGAGCTGTTCCTTTCTTCACCACTACTTCAGTGCATATCACGCTGAAGTATACCAAACCATAGTATACCAGAACAGTATTATGTGGTGTGCTCCACTAAATGAGTTTAATAAACATAAAGATATGCAATTTTATACAGATTACTAACTTTTGGATGTCACAAACGCATCTCATTAATATTTTAGCCATGCTACTAATTTGCTTAACAAATTGTGTTCGTAAACAAACATCTGTATAGTGCCGAAAAGCTAGCATCCAGCTAAACGATTCGCCTGTCATCTGAAGCCCTGGTCATTATTGGACAGGTGAAATTTTATATGGATGTGATATCGCCCAACCCTAGGAAATTGCTCATAAGATATTGACTTGAATTTATGTGACTCTCTTGTTAATTCCAGGAGACGGTAACCCTGAAGAACCTGTGGAGCAAGGGCTATCAGGTTATAGTATCATATGACCACATGGCTGTTAGTCACCATGGCGAGCTGTGGGCGCCCATCCCGTACTGGTGGGCAAACAAGTGCAAAGCAGAGGCGTTGATCCAGGAGTTTGAGCGAAGGAAGCAGCAAGGCCGCCCAGGTGAGGAATGAAGATACATCATGTGGTTAGAGTTCAACCAGTCTCATCTAGTATTTTAATGTCAGCTTTAGTGGAAGTGCACAGTACTTCTGTGAAGATCCACTGGCAGAAGCTTAACTTAAACAATCAAATCAAATTGTGCGCTGGTTTAAAACAAAGAAACAATGTGGCCTGAATATTTTTACAGCAGGCTTCTTTGTCGCTGGTATTAACCTGACAGAAGATTTGAAGTACATCTGTGGTCACCCTCTGGAGTCCTTGAAGGACCTGGTGATGACCACCTACCCAGCACTACTGACTTGGGTCATGGCACAAAGCCCTGGATCCAACAGTGAGTGCATCAACATCATTGCGGGGGATTTCGTGACTGACAGCCAGCTGGTGGTATCTGTGATCGCGCTAAATGAGACCATACTGAAGTGTACAGAGTGCTGATGATATTTGTAGAACTTTTCCTATAATGTTAGGTCAATTTTGCACACTGATGTCATTTTATAGTTTTACTAGATACAGCTACAAACTTTAAAAACAGCATTTCACTGCCGAATGCACAGACCTTAAATTGTCAGTACCTACGGTGCTTGAAGATAAATACTGCATTTTTTCTTTCACTTTTTAAAAACAATTTAGGAATTAAATTGAATTAATAAGTTTATCATGTAAACTGGTATTCACAAATCTTCAGTGTCATCTATCACTGTGTAGTGACAAAGTGATAGATGACACGCAAAACACAGAAGGAAACGTAATGCAGTTGTTTGCCGTGTTTACAATATTGTACTGTATATTTGATAGATATTTAAATTACATTAATGCTGTGTATATATACATGTTTCTTGTCCCGTTCATTTGAACATTTTTTGCATTAATGGAACCTTGGGTATCCAAAGGAAATCTATGCAGCACACAAAGCAGGATTGGGACTAAAACCACCCGCCCTAGTGGCACTGATGTCTGTGCTGTGTGGAACCAACATGCCACCCACAAAGGGCTAAATATCTGGTAGTGCTTACATAAGACTGTGTGTGTCCTATTTAGGTTCTTAATGTATGTAAACTGGAGATTTATGTTTAGCAGGTATTTTTATACAAAATGCATTGTTCAACCAGTTCCTTGGAGAAATTGGGGTGATGGATCTTGTTCAAGGGCTGAATGGTGGCATCACTCTGCTGACCCTGGGGTTTGAACCAGCAGCCTTCCAATTATGGGCACAGAAACAATTTTTCTGTGACTTTTAATGTGTTTTCTGTTTTTTTTTCTACTACTTTAAATTTTATAAGGAATAAAAAAAATAGCTTTTGGCAGAACAAAGCACACACCTCGATCACAACCTGTGGCAGTATCCTGCATTGTTCTCAGGCATGAGGAACGTGGACCTGTTTAAGATCTAGATTCAGCTGAACTTGATTTGCCGGAATGTTACTGCTGAATAAAAAATCAGGAATCTGTTCGTCTTGGGTGGGATTCTTTACTTAATGCATAAATATTTAAAAGCGCATTTATTTTGCACTTCACACATTGTTTATAACAACTGACACTTCACTGGTATGGTTATTCTGTGTCCTCAGATGGTGACTATATTCCCTTGTGTCTCATGTATATGGTCAGTCTTGGGACAGTTTGACAGTCTGAATTTTCTGTTGAATATGTCCTGATCTTGTCTTTTGAGTATCTTTGCAAAGGAGTTTATTAGTATGGAAGGAACAGGGCGGCGTGGGTGGGGATGCTGCAGTGGCGTCTCTACATTGCACCCGAACCTCCTCCCAGACCTCGCTTTGTGGTCGTATGACAGATTTGCAGTGAAAAGTCCACAATACTGCGGCTGCCGTCCTGTCTAAAGTGTCCTGATGCTGCATAAGATCCCAATCCAGTCACCGTTCACACTGCCTTTTCCCATCAAACTGATTCAGAGACCTTAATGTGATGCCTTTAGCATCCTTTTCCAGTGCTGCTCCTGACACATAGTTGAAGCAGAGGAGGCTCCCTCCATTGCCATTTCAGTGGAACATGTAGTATATGAAACCTGTCCCTTCAAATTGATGGAAGTTGGAAGTGTGCGGACACAGCGTTCTGTCACTATCAGGGCATGTATTCATAGTGAAGCTGAGGAACGTCAGGTGCCAACATTAAGGTAGCTCTATATATATATATATTCAAAACACATCCTTCTTGTAATTAAGTTTATCTTATTCAGCAGACTTTTTCACCCAAAACAACATAGATATTTTTGAGAAAACAGGGTCAAACAGTCCCTGGAGCAAGTGGGGATTAAGGGCCACATTTAGGGGCCCAACAATGACATCACTCTGCCCAAGTCGCACGTAGCTCCCGCCTTCAATGTGTTTGTTATGTAGAACAAATGGATTATTTTACCGAACATAACAAACAAGATTAGTAATATTATTATTCTTCCATCCAGTTTTTTTAACTGCTTATTTATGCAGGGATGTGAGGGTGGAGCCTGTCCCACGAAGCACAGGACAGAAGGAAGACTGCACCCTGGACGGGACAGCGGTCAAACGCAGTGCACACAATCACACAGAAAAGGCCACGAGGAGTCAGCTCTCTGTGGAAACCTGGACAAACATTCTGAGCCCCCAGGCTGTCCTTAATTTATCTTTAGGATACAGAAGAATGAAAATCATGCAGCCCAATAGCTTTGTATATAAATTTAGGCAGAGACAGTCATAATAGGTCCACCACTGATTTAGGTCTTTCTGCAGATCTTGATGCCACCAGTAGGTGGCACTTGCATCATTTATTCTACTGTACTCAGAGAAGCATTATTATTTGTTATTTGTCATTGTTGACACACCACAGCACACAGTGCACAACAACGAAATGTGTCCTCTGCATTTAACCCATATGTGACTTTCGTGACATAGCAGGGGGCAGCTAATTCAGCGCCCGGGGAGCAGTGCTTGGGGGCGGTACCTTGCTCAGGGTACCTCAGTGGTGTCTTGCTGGTCGGGGATTTGAACCTGCAATCTTCCGATTACGAGTGCGCTTCCCTAACCATTAAGCCACCACTGCCACATTGCAGTCATAGATGGAAATTTCAGTAATCTATTTCACAGAAAACAACAAAGACATTTGCCCGTTACAAATTCATATGGGAGCAAAGGTAAATATTTACGTGGGGGTAAATATTTAAGTGGGGGTCTATAATTGATGCTGTGGGAAAATCTGAATGGTCCAGCAATCTGGCTGAGATCATCTGATAATGAATAACAAGTTTCATAACCTTGTCTTCCAGCTTGCATGGCCAACGGGAAGTAGGACTATCATTTGTGTGGTAGTTGTGAAGCCTGTTACCCAAGTTTCAGACAATCGAAACCATACTAGAAAGGAGGTAAAAGGAGGTGATTGCCTAGAGCAGGGGTGGGCAATCTCATCCACAAAGGGCCTCTGTATGCGGGTTTTCACTAATTAGAGGGCTGATTGGCTGAAGAGTCCTCACACCTGGGTTTAAACAGCTGACCTATAGGTTACCCCAAAAACCTGCACACACACCGGTCCTTTGTGGATAAGACTGGCCTCCCTTGGCCTAGAATGTGTTTTTTAAAACTACAATCAACAATTTAACTACATTTTCCCATCAAACAAATCATCGTATTCTTCATACTTTCATAGAGGAATTCAGTCATTTATACAATGATGTTTACATTTATTTCCTTTTCTAAGTCATTTATACAAAGTGACCCAAAGCATTTATACAGCTTAGAATTTCACCGAAAAGCTTCTGGTTAGGAGTGTAGCAGGGCCCTTAGGGGCTATTTACGGGGAGCTCCCCTTTCTTGTTGTCAAGCCCCTCTTGTGCTTTGTCTCTTGAGCTTCGGATTAGCAGTCTGAGAAGAAACCTAAACCACTTCCACCCACTTTACTGTGAGACTCGGCCCCCATCAGCACAAGTAAACATGATGTACGCCTGACTCACTGAGAGATCGTCAACCTGTCGTACACAAGCAATGGCATCTGGGCCAAAATGTTTTGACTGAGGAAAAACAAACCACATAAGCTATGTTTTTAAATACCATGTCCATGATAAAAATTGGATTTTGATCAAAATGTCCATTAGGATTCGCCGTGGTGTCCAATCCTGCTCACACTCATAAACTGACTGATCATAAAGACTAACTCGAGTAGTCTCGAGTAAATAGCCCTTCAAGGACGACAGCACTTTTCATTAACAAGGATTCTCACAGGGGCTACTCATTAACAAAGGTGTCCACAGGGCCAGATTATTAATCTAAATGCCCAAAGGAATAGCCATAGAAAACTGTTTATTCACCCAGCTGTCCGCAGGGCCCAGTCATTAACTGTGATTCCCTTAAGGATACTTCAAGGGATCCCCTCAGTCATGATTCCTATGACATGGTCATTTTCACTAGTGTTCATGGCGTGTACACATTACACGTTACAGTGCAGCTCATAGCAGCTAATCATTTGTAGGTTTTTGATGGAAAGGTCTCCATTTTGTTCTTCGGGGCAGAGATTCAAGACTTCTGTGTAGCAATGGATTGTTTGCTTCTATTTTGATGTGCCATGTGTCATTGATTGCCCTTGATCTTTGCTTTCCTGACAAATCCAATGGGATCTGTAAAGAGTGGGCTGAGCAGTGTTTGCCTCTATCAACCCATCGCTACAATTAATGATCATCACAGCCTGTAAAATTATATTACAATAATACCGACATGGAGCAGCGCAGTGGTGCAGTGGTTAGCACTGGTGCCTCATGCATGTACTCCCTGTGTCGTCGAGGTTTCCTTTAGGTACTCGGGTTTCCCCCCACAGTCCAAAAACATGCTGAGGCTATTGGCGTTACCAAATTGCTTGTAGGTGTGCAGGTGTGAGAGAAGGGTGTGTGAATGTCCCCTGTGATGGGCTGGTGCTCTTTGCTGGGTGGTTCCCTGCCTTGTGTCTCCAGGTTCTGGAACTCCCTGCAACCCTGAATAGGACAAGTGGTTTCCGAAAATGGAAGGATGGATTACAACCATCCATCATCCAATCACTTATTCTGATAAGGGTTGCGCCAGGGCCTGGAATCCATCCCAGGACACACTCTGGATGGGACGCCAGTTTAATGACACTAATGAGCTTAAGTGCCTGTGTTTTGCCTACAGGAGGCAAAGCATAGACCATAAATGGAAGGTGGGATAGGAACCCCCAGCTATGCTGGCATAAAGCGACAGTCCCTCCAGCTGAACCACCATGCAACCAACTTTCAACCCAGTTCAAACACAAATGGAACCCAGGTCCCAGAGGTGAGAGGCAGCAGCGCTGAGCAGCATGCACCCATGCATGTAATGCGAGCAGTATTTCTACCATCTAAATGCTTATCCGACTGATGCAGCAATAAATCAAATCATTTATACAACAAAAGATTTTAAAATAAAATGTTTTTAAAATGCTACTGTCATATAAGCACCTGTATACAGTATTTAGTACAAGGGTTGATTGATTAAGATTCTGATGATAGGAGATAATAAAAGTGATATCAAAATGAAGGAAATTTATTCCTGTTAAACACTGTAAACATATTTTTCAACATAGTTCACATTTACTATGTACACAATTTTCCAAATGCACTATCCATTTTTTATTCCATCCATGAAGAATGTTTCTGGTTGGTTTCTGATCCATTTGCACACAGCAGCTTTAACTTCGACATCCAAGGAAAAATGTCATCCTTTCAACATCTTGTTCAATTTTTGGAAGTCAAACCTTGGCTATAAGGTGAGAGTGGAACAACTGTAAAAATCAGGTTTGTCACTGCTTCCATCGTTTGACCACTGCAGTGTGGCCTTGTGATGTCATGATGCAAAAGAAAAGGTTCTTTCAGGCCTGATTCTGCCGATGCATTGCTTGAGTGCCCGTATGGTTGCACAATACCTTTCAGAATTCATCGTCGTTCCTTTAGTCAGAAAATCCATTTAAATCACGCTCATTGCCTATGAATTCCACTGGCTCACAACCTTCCACTGTCAAAAACTCCGTTATCGAACACTGCTTCATACTTAGCTCAGATTTAGAGCGCATTACCAACAAATACTATTGCTTAGGGGCTTCAAACACTGAACTGAATCTAACCTTGTTTGCACTACACAGTATTGGCTACTAAACACTACCAGAGATGCCACGTGATAGGAAGCCTCTACTTATCAATCAGCTCTCGTACATGAAAAGGGTTTTTCTACTGCACCACTTTTTAGTTGACTGTATATACTTAAAGCATCACCTGTACAATGAAATTACTATTTAAAAAAATCACATCTGAGGGACATGAAGACATGAGTATGATCTCTCACTTCGGCCACATGACCAGAACATCAGTAGCAGACATCTGGCACAATGCGTCCCAGTTTGTAGGCTTCCCCTCGTCAGTCGTAGCCTCTGATAATGACACACGACAGGGTCGATTTTTAATTGTCCCTGATGCCATAATGTCAG